GCTGTATAAAGACGGTTAAAAAATAAATAAACACCAGAGTCCAAAGCCGTGGTGACACAGGGGATAGAGCTTTCGCTTCCCAATGAGGAGAACCGGGTTCGAATCCCAGTTGTGGCTGGCTCATACGAATTCTATTCCCAGCTCATCCCGACGGCAGTGCTGACGTAAAATATCCATGGATCATGGATGAGAATACCCTTGCAGTCGGGCTAACCATGGGAGGTTTTCCTCTCCGTGCAACGCAAATGAAGTTTAGTTCCATCAAAAAGTCTTCCATGAAAGCTTGATTCAGGCGTAGTTTTCTTGTCTTCTGGGTTGGATTCAAAATTGCAAGGCTATGGAGCTGAACATTGATAGTCATAAACTCAGAATTGGTTTGGCTGTTCAACGCTAGTTATAAAATATGAAATAAAACATCTGAGTTCCAACAGTCACGTACTTGTCTAATTCGGTGATTTTAGCGGAGAAGGAAAGGCGACTGTTAAGAGTTAAGAGGATTTTTTATTTATTTATTTTTTTATTAAATTATTTTAGAATTCCAATTTTTATACATATAAACTATAGATATAAACTTTACCAAATACGATATATATATATAAGCTTTACCAAATTGTTTACATTTTAACAAAATTTCGATAATTTAAATTTTTTGAATTCCATTAAAAACGGTTAAAACCTTGTGATAAAAACTTATCCATGCTTTTCAAGTCTTAAAAATGGTTCGAAATTTTAAAATATTTCGCATAATTTACACTAGCAAAACAAATGTCCATATTTATAATTGAAGTTTAAAATTATTATTTTTTCTTTTTGAACTTCAAAATTTTAAAATGAAATATCTACTTTTCAATTAATTAATAATTTTAAAAGAAGCTTATTATTAGTTTCAAACTTTTGTTATTGGCCATTACAGCACTGGTAGTGGGATTGTTCTAGTTTTCTAGTAGCGCCATCCAGGGCTGACACACCTATATGTCCCACCCGTTTAAATGGTGAACCCTTTCAGATCCATTCATTGATCTAAAGATTCTAATTTTGACCTGAACCAGAGAACGATAAATATCCAATCCAATGCCTCCAGGTATACTGCGTTATGGGAACATGGAGGCTTTTGTGTCCCGATGGATTTAACGTGCACCAGTCAGCATTTACTACACAGTGAGGCGAACTTCCGCTCTCTCAAACGTCCGTCAAGCTCCCTACCAACCTGATTATCCTCATCCCGGTCCAATATCAGCCTTTTATTAAACTTACTTATCGAAAAAAAATTCACACTTAATAATGTTATGTGTCAAAAAAAGAAACTACAATTATTCCTTTTTTTTCTTCCTTCAATTTTGTTAAAGTTTGTTTATTTTAATAACATATTCCTGTAGTTCATAATTACAAAGTATATATCACATTTCAGAATTCATCTAAAGGTGTTTTTTAATTATTTAAAAAAAAAACGCTTTTAAATATTAATCTAATATAGAACACAACAGTATAACATATCTTGTAAAATCATAGATATCTTTTCAATCATGGAGATTTTTTCAAAATATTTACAAGAAAGGATTTCAGGCGTATTAAGAAGTCGAAAAATAAAATAGAAATTAGGAAAAAAATTAAGTATCACCTTAAAGAATCCTCTATGTTCTTTTCAATTTTATAATTTTATTTTTACTATACACCTAATAGGGTTAAACCATTTTAATTCCTCTGATAACATACTCGATTTTTCTTCCACGCGTCATAGTATTTAAAAAGATCTGACGATTTCAATTGAAAATGACCTGATGATATTATTAAAGAGCTTATAATTTAGTATTATATATATATATATATATATGATCTATTTATTGAATCGTATTATATTGATCTTTCATAACGCATTTTTTGTGTGAACAAATGTATGTTATACCAATTGCAATTCTAAATATTCTAATAAAACAATTGTAATTTTAAAAAGGGATAAATAAAATTTTTTGTGAAGTGCATAAGGTCTTCCTTTGACAATTTTTAATGTCTTATCAAATGCAGCACAATAAACCACCATACTTTAAAATTTTCGGCTTTAAAATTTCAACATCGACTTTCTTCTATTGAAATAACAAGGAGAAATGGAAAGTTAAAAATACTCTCCCAATCCTCTAACAAGTGCAACCATGGTAAAAAGGTTTTATTAAAAAAAATGAAACAGCCTAACGCTATATTATTATTTTTTTTTTTTAAAAAAAAGAAGAAAAAAAGAATTCCAAAATTTAGGAAAAATATTTTTAAGTAGATTTATTCGGCATACTCTTTTCTATATTTGTACAAAAATGTAGAAGTTTACGTAACGCAATTAAAATGTACTTACTCAATTACGTTATGTTTCATTTTTTGTGTCCTGAATTTAGCTCAAGCAAACAATAGATGTCTTGGACAGACCTTAAAACCTAATTATTTTATCGCAGTTTAATTTTGTAAGCTGTTATTAATTTTCGATAACAAAATCGCTCTGGAAGCAAAAAATTAACATACCAACAAAATGTCGCTCCAACACCTAAAACTAAAAAAACTCAATGATAAGAGACAGATTTTATTGTACTTTCTTACACCACAAGAGTGGCCACCTTACTCACCAGACTTGAATCCAATAGCCAACAAAAAATATGCATTATCTTAATTTTCGAAGAACTGCAGATATAATTATAAAAGTGGTGAGTAAGTATAGTTAATTCGTAATGCATGGAAAAATGAAGAATTACCTGGTGGAAAATGGTGATTTGATTTATGATTTGAATTATAGGAAAGAAAATGACAAAGTGATAGTTATAGAGGTATATCGACATGGTACAACTAGACACTTTGTAGATATTAATACTAAGAGAAAAAATGCTTAAAACGAGCATTCGTTTCCTACATTGCTCTTAGATATACGAGATTTCCTACATTTAAACAAGACCAATTTGTCTTGGGGAAAAAAAAAATTTGTTTTTTTGGCTTTGAAATTCTTTATTTCGAAACAGAGATATTTTATCTTGTTATAGCATTCATTTTTCATTATTGATCGTTTTGTCTCGTCAGCGTATATGAAATCACGCGCAAGGTAAATAATGCGCATCTTAAGCTTTACCCCCCCCCCCCCCNNNNCCCCCCCCTTATAATTAATACTTACACATTCCAATTCGTACTCGATTGATGATGCTCAGTAATTTTGAAATTTACTTTTTTCCTATTTCCCAACGCAAATAGCGCAATTTTTTGCGAGTAAGACGGTATAAGCGTTCTCATTTTGTGGTGCATTGCCATTTTACTATACCTAGATACCACTTTTATAATTATAGCGGTAACCATTCCAAGTTTAAGGGGATAGATACGAACTTCAGTATGCACCCTTTATAATCCAATATAATTAAAAAATAATCTCCGGAATAAAAACATAAAATTGTTCTGTTTTTTCTTTCTTTATAAAAAAAATTGAAAAATGTTCTTTGTCCTTTATGAGTACCCAGTTTTCTGTTTCAGAAAAGTTTCGACGGCTTTTGTTTTTTCTACAAAGCTCATTGATTTATCTAATGTGATATGATTTTTGAAACAATATTTAAAATGTAATATAGTTAATTCAATAAAAGTGTCAACACAGATATTTTTAAAATAACTTTATAAAACAACCTACTCAATATTTTTTTAAAAATGGCTCTGATATCTTCGGAGTACTGTTCATGAGTAGAATATGTTTTGGTTATGATAACATTTCACATTTTCTTTAAGTTTATAGGAGTGAGGTTACTTTTTCATTAAGTACTTTTTAACTTAGAACTTTTTAATCAAGTTTAGCTAATCATTTTAATATCTTTTAAGTGAAAACCTATCATAATACAGATGCGTAATATAATAATTAATATAATTGTCTTAAAATAATAGCCTTATAAAACAACCTATTAAATTTTTTGTTGTTGGCTCTGATAATTTCGAATTACTGCTCATAACATGCTTTGGTTATAATATATTACTTTTTCTTTAAGTTTTTTTGAGGGAGGAAGATTATTTTTTCATTAAGTACTTTTCAATTTAGAACTTTTTAATTAAGTTTAGCTAATCATTTTAATATCCTTTTAAAGGAAAACTTATCTTGTTATAGATATTTAACGATAAAAACCCCAAGAATAGTTTATATATATATATATATATATATATAGTCGGATATAGTCGTGTGGGCTGAAGAAAAGACTATATCTTTTTTTCCCCCGGTTTTTTAAATAAAATTTAATCCTTTTTTTTAAAAAACTGTTGTTTGTTATTTTTTTTACTTATTATCCCCCCCCCCTTTTTTTCTTCATTTGTCTATTATTTTTCTTTGTTTTATTCTTCATTCAAGTATTTATGCAGCTGTTAACATGGTAAACAATAGTTTTGAAAATATGTTGAATACGGTAGTCATGAAATTAAGAAAAATTGGTTGAATGTTTCGATTAAACTTCATTTTAATACTAAAAAAATAATTTTTTCTATACATACAGCATTAAAGTACGTAGTCTTAAGTTTAATTTGCACAAAAAAGAAGTCTATATGTGAAAAATTGTTCGAGTAATTACAAATTTACAAAAAAAATTGGATTTCGGGTAGCCTCGCTCATATGAATGTTGGGTATCAACGACCAATTTTATTTTGTCGATAAATGTACGGTTGCAAAGATTATTATTTTAAAGCTTCAAATTTGAATGCTATATGCATTTTTAACAACAAATATTGTTGTTATTAAATGATTGTTATTAAATGATAGAATTCACTAAAAGTATATAAATAAGTAAAAAATAAAATAATTTTGTGATAAAAATGATAAACGAGGTTTACCTATTGTCAATACATTGGTCATTTTCATTTACATCTGAAAAAAAAGTAGTCAAAAANATATAAGAATGAAGAGTTTTGATATAGAATTTATAATCAATACAACTGTAAAATTTAATATTGCTATAACAAAATTGTGTTAACAAAAATTCGAATTTATGACAAGTACATCTTTAACTTACCTCCTATAATACCAGGATTTTGATCCCAAAAATGACATATGCGGGCCGGTCTGTAAAAAAACTCATCTCTTGTGTTTGCTAAGATAATATAAAAACCATCAGGCCCTGGATTCGGATTGATATATAGAAATAACATACACATCTTCAGTCAGTCTATGAAAATATATTAAACAGCAAACTATGAGCAAAACAATCGATACTAAGTGAAACTAATGAGCTCTGAAACTCACAAAACTTCTAAAATATCTCCTCGAATATTTCGCTACTTTGAGAATATTAATTACAGGCAGGAATGAGATTAGTCGCTCTATTGATATCTATTGTGAGAAACAACCGACTAAGGACACCTATTAGAAAGGGAAAGTGAAATATTCTACAAGCAACCGGCTTTTGGATGAATAAAGATCTGGAAGATAGAAAATAATAAAAAGTCAGCAAGATTCGGAAGAAGGGAAATATGCTGCTGCTGACCCACTTATAAATACTCAGATTGCTGTTTTGTTTGTTATCAAACAAACTTCGCCATGTTTGACCACAAATATTTAATTATAGAGTTGAAAAGAGATTTATTCGTTTCCTATCGTGTTTGTAGTAAATTTATAATTATTTTTTGAAGCGTAGGTTCTGATGTTTTTTCAGAAGTTCTCGCATTTTTTATTTGAAATTATTTTGACAATAACTCTTGAATTGATTATTTTGAAAATTACTCTTTCTTTCTTACTTTGAAAATTACTTTTGAAATTAAGTCGATTCTATCATATTAAATTACTCACACCAAGCTCACAGCACTTGCTAACCTGCTTTCGCAGTTCTTTACGGATTTCTTCTCTCACTCATAGTATACTTGCATATTTTAATCTAGCTTTGGAAGAAACCCGAAACGAGGGTTCACTTATCATAAAGTTTTCCATTCACGGATAGATTGGGTACTGTTGTGTTAACGGGAACCGGAAAAAAATCGCCAAATGGTAGTGAGCAAATTCGAGACCACAAAGGCAGCCCTTCACGGAAACGATCAGTATTAGGAATATCGGGAGCACAATAGCAACTAACCTCAAAAGTATCAGTGTAGGGTATACCAGGTAGTGGCATTAATCTTTAAAAAACTTTAGTTTAGAGTATACCGGGCCGTGTCAGTCAACCTTAAAAAACCGTAGGGTTAACCGGACAATGGCACTCATATACCTCGATTAAACAGATATATAACAATAACTAAGAGCGATTATTAATTGATTATAAGATTACTTGGCTTTTGATTTGGCGGGAAAAAATGTAACCATTACTAACGGCTCCTTTTATCAAAGAGTACCATTACTATATAAAGTATACTGTGTATCTGAAAAAGTTTAAAGTACACTCTAGTTTTGTAATTGAAATAATAAAAGTGATCAAAATATAGTATGATTTCAAATTATGTCAATGGAACTTTCTTACAATAATTTTTCTAAGAGTTACAAGTTATTTTTAAAAAATGCAATATTTATGACATCATGAAATCACATTAAAGCATACTTCGAACTTTTGCCCAGTCACTTTGGTAAATCCTAAGTTTATCTGTAAAACCTAAGATTTACCAAGCTTCGAGTTTTTACAGTAACATATGTTACAATTTGATTCATTTACTTTTAAAATAAATAATTCATAGAATTTCCCTATTTGCACAATTAGAATATTCCAGTCTTAGTTCTAAATTCAGTTTTTTAGTTCTAAGAACAGTTTTAAATTCTTTATTCTAACATAAACTCGCAAAACAAATGAAAAACACTTTCCGGTATTTATTACGAAACTAAAAATAATTATTAAGCTAAAATACAGTTCCAAACTATGTTATTTACGCATATCAATAAGCATAATTTAGATATAGAACAGCTTGACTATAGTTATTTCTGTTATACTGATTGGATTCCCAGTGGAGCACCGAAGTCAAGCATCACTGGCTGCTGTCAGTAAGCTGGTGGGTGAGCAGTTTGATCAGCCTGAGCAGGGACCAAGGGTGTGCGGTATTGGTCCTCGTTAAACTGTTCTACCGTAAAGTGCTCAACTTCGCGAGCAGGTTGTCCGGCTACCAAAGCAGGGGAAAAATCCCCTCTGCAGAGGATCGAAATTGCAATGGTATGTCTTCGGATAATCCTCGGGGATATTTCCCAGACAGTCGCCAATAGCCCATTCTGCAGCTTTAATTCGACGTAAATAAAATACCTACCTACCTATACTGATTGACCCAGTTTGTTTCAGCTTTTCATTGCCAACGCATTGAATGAAATTTTATCAGTTTTGAGATATTATACGCATTAGTGTTTTAGATACTAAATACTGCAATATAATACTAAACTACTGCATTATTTGCTTTAATACTATGACGAGAATGGGCAAAAGCTAATTCTAGTCCAGAGAGCTAGATCACGATTCTTTGCGATCTATTTGAATTTGTACAATCGTATCAGGCTAGTCAAAATTAATCTTGGGGAAGAGGTAAATACGAATAATATGATATTTGACAATGCAAAATTTCTAAGAAAAAACAATACTTTTTTAATAAATCGTTAACATATTCCCCAGCCCCCAAAGATTATTGCGCTAACTTATATGGTTCTCTTTTATAACTTAATTTTTATTTTTTATCATCACAAAAACAACATATTTTCCTCATAGGAGTTGAACATCAAAAGTTTTCGGTAAAATATTTAGCTTTTAAATATACAGATCGTAAAAATAGTATGTTATAGCTTTTCTTTGTTTTCTGTCATATGGAAAAATTTTATCACCATGTCTTAAGCTAAAAATACAAAATTGCAGTAAATTTTCGAATTCTTGACTGCTGTTTTTATTTATTGTGATTTCACTAATTTTCACATTCTGTAAACAAAGTCAATTTTTGAATAGTTCTTGAGAATTGAAAAATATGACTTTTATTTTTAATTTTTGTATCTTGGGAAACTNTACGCAGACTGATCCCGCACACTGACCGCAACCAGTGATGCTTGACTTCGATGATCTGCTGGGAACCATGTCTTAACGATCAGTCCACTGCGGGAGTTTAATTTTTGTATCTTGGGAAACTATTTAGATGATATTGTTCACATTTCTGAATTCATCAATAAAAAATTAGGCAGTTGAGGATTTAAAAAATTGTATACGTTTCAAGTTGAAACTTTCACACTAAATCTTAATTAAACACCAAAAACAAGTAACAAATTTAGGAGTTAAAAGCAAAAAAAAAAAATTTATAAATAGTATAAGGTTTTAATATCCTCGATTTCGCACAGCTATAAATTAAAATTTTGATTAAAAACAACCCTAAAACCACGAGGGAGAAAAAAAACAAAAACACCCTCGATATGTTTTGGTGCATCTTTAACATTAGGTAAACATGGCCTCTCGATTAAAAACCAACTTGCTGTATTGGAACTTGTCCAGTTTTTTAATAAATTACTTGTAATTTTTACGTTGTCTTTATTCAACATTTTGTTTTCTAATCACATCACAAAATACTAAATATTTTTCGTATTGAATTCCACTAGGTAAAATATCCTCCCTCCATTAAATCTCGAGTGGTTTGTGGACAAATATGGCGATACCATCAAAAGTGCTTAAAATCGAATGAGTGTTGCAAGATGGTGTTTGTAATCCTTCATTAAATCAGTGGGAGATTGGTGTGAAAGATGTTTCAAATGAGTGACAGTTGTAGATTTCAGTTTTCTCCCTCCCCCGCGGAGGCATCCTACCGTTGCAAACAGAGCCCTGACATAATTTCAATAAGTGAAGTAAACCAAAAATAGCTAAGCCACTAAAAGTGAAAATCACTTCCGTAATAAACTGTTAGGTTTCTTAATTATTATGAAAAGATGACAGGTTAAATGTATTTCCCGTGTAAATGTAAATAAATAAAACACGTGAAAATAGAAACGTGTTGTAAGTGCTTTTTCTTTAATACTTAGTTGCCGTTCGTGTGGTCTATTCACGTTTTTAACACATTTTAAAAATTTTACTTCCGCTTTTAAAAAAAACGTTAGGAGTGGAAGTGCAATTCAATTTTTTGCATGAACACAGAAATAATCTCTATTTTTAAGCTTATTTAAAAGTATCGTTACTTTAATATTCAATATATTTCTCTTATGTGGCACCATAAACTCGGATATTTCGCTATCTATTGGCAACACTATGGTTGTTATTCATTTTGTTAGGTTGTCGTTAGTAATAATTTACGTAGTGTCAAAAGAATAATTATGCATCAATGTTTAATAAGATTCGTTTTGTTAAGTTGCCTTTAATTTAAGTAGTGTCGAATAGTTAGTTATATGTTAAGTATTTAATAATGGAATAATTTTTTATTTCTATAGAAATAAAATTTTAGTTCGAAATAATTATTTAGATTTTTTTTTCTTTTATAAAATGGCTGTAGAAATTTTAAACATGAACTGTGCTATGGTGCTGCATACTGTCATGCCAATTGGGTATACTATAGCCTACGTCACAGGTTGTGTTATTCCTACTAAATTTAACCCATGAACGGCATTTTCTGCGAGCCTAAACTTCAAGCCACAAATAAACAAACGAAGTGTTTGATCGTTTAAATAGCTGCTCGCCAGATTTTATTGCATTATAAAGAAATGTAATTGATATTCGATTTTTGATTAACAATTGATTTATGTGGATAGTGGCATAGAATTTAGCATTGCGTCATGGTAAATGTTATTTCTACTAAGTGGAAGTAGTTGTGTTTTTTTTATATTATACCCAATTATAGGCGATGCAGCTTGTATTTTTCAAGCAATAACAATATATATACACATATAATATATGAATGGAGATAATTCAAGAAATTTAATTCAGAAATCGGAAAAATAAACATACTATTTCTGTGGATTAAAAAAAGTAAGTTATGTTTATAAATTTGAAAAATAAAATTTCATACGATTCAAAAACACGATTTCATATTTCTTGAGTGTAATTATATATATATTTCTCTTATGTTGCTCCATAAACTCGGTAATTTTTCCATCTATTAGCAACACCATATAATTATTATTCGTTTTGTTAGGCTGTCTTAAGTAATAATTTAAGTAGTGTCAAAAAATAAGTTACACGTTAAGTATTTTTTTAAAGATAATTTTGTATTTTTATCGAAGCAAAAACATAGTTATGAAGTAATTATTCAGATCTAATTTTGATTCTTTCTGAAATGGCTGTAGAAATTTTAAACAAAAACGGTGCTATGGTGCCGAATACTGTCATACCAATTATTGGTGACGAATTTTGCCTTTTTCGGGCAAATAGCTTTTATAGAGAAAGTTATGGCTTGGGAGGTGCTGGAAGAAGTAGCATAGCACGTAAGATTTTAAAATATAACTAAAATTTAATACATTAAGAACTTTGACAATATCGCGGACATCTTTTGAAAATAGTTAAAAGCGAATGCAGTTGTTTAGGCTATGAAAAAAATTTGGCTAATTTATTGTTTATAATTAATTAATATGCCATGATTGGAGGAGGGGT